AGGTGAACTGAATACCTTGATGTTTGGAGTTACTAATGCTACAATGACACCACAATACGACACGTACTAGTGGATGAAACAATTTTCTTCTACCAGTACATCATTTGTTGAAACTTACTAGTAATGGATGCGTATTACAACATCCTCTACATTCGAGTCAACAGAAAAAGTAAAATTTGTATGTAAAATGTTTTTTTTTACACCTTCATGTTCACTTAGTACATTTCAGGAAGCACATAACACGACCTTAAAATGAATCTGAATAATGATTGTTTTCAAACATTTCTGTGCTTTAAAACTTTATATGACTTAAAATATTATGGTTTAATCACAAAACAAACACGTGTGATATATACATAGAATTCCCAGCTAACCTAATGATTATTATGCCCAACATTCAATCGTTTTTCCAACATCGACCTTGTTACGAATAATAACATGTATTAGATACATTGTATTTAATGCAAAATTTGAGTAAACTAAAGTACAAGAAATTTTCAACTAACCTGGATATACGACGCCACTTAGAACTATAATCATTCCTTCGTCGAATCTTAACCAAAATCCAGTGACTTTTCTATAACAATGCTCGTGATCTAAAAAGTCACTTCTCTAAAGATAACAGCAGTTTGCTTATACTAACATTTGTGATATTAATTAATGAACAATTATTTTATAATGTACAGTAACACTTTAACACAATACTACGTATTACTTAACTGCCATAAAAATCATAAAATACAATCCACAAATAACAAGAGATTTTCTTGTAATCTAGGCTTAACAAAATAACAAAAATTGAATGCCACAGGTTCCATAAAAATCATAAAATACAATCCACAAATAACAAGAGATTTTCTTGTAATCTAGGCTTAACAAAATAACAAAAATTGAATGCCACAGGTTCCATAAAAATCATAAAATACAATCCACAAATAAGAGATTTTCTTGTAATCTAGGCTTAACAAAATAACAAAAATTGAACTTTTAACACTTTTTTTTTCTTATCACCAGTTACGATGTGAAAAATATTTTTTATTACACAATCTGAAGCGAAGAAAGAAAACAGCAGGTTTGTCAACTTTTTTTAAAGTCACATAGATCTTAAAAAAATATATTTATAACATTTTTACTTCAACCAAGAAAATCTGAAACAAAGTGAACTCCGAGATAAAGGAAAAAACAAAACAAGTCAGTGAAAATTTGTTCTCCAAATTGGTTTTTAACATCAGAGATAACACATTTAAGGACTTTTATTAAAAGGTCTAGAATTAAATCACAACTGTCACACCAAATTTTAAAATCCAACAGATTAATTCTCAAGTATAGAAGAAGAAACAATGTTGTTTAGGAGAACCAAATTTATTTTATATTTACCTGTAAAACTAATCAGGTCTAGAGAGGTATTGGTGGCAACATGATAAGATTAGGTCTAAAAAGTGACGGTGAAAATATGTGTGCTTTACCTGTATAAAAGATACATAATGCTCCTTGCCTGTACTATACATACATGTTTCTCGACTGTTCTATATTTGCTGTACAGAAGGTTGAGTAAGTTACATAAAAATGGTTTTAAATATGAAAACCAGAATATATAAAGTTGCAGTGGAACTGAATGTATCAGAACTATATTTTAACACTCTTTTAGAGTTTCATAGGTAGAGTGATGCTACCGAAAGCTGATAATTGTTTGGAAGGGTATGTTACAGCTCTTTAAAATGTAAAATATTAATACACCCAGATTATAAATGTGTGTTTTGATCAAGGATTTAGAATATCCAAGATGGTGATAACCCTTGCATGTAGGTATTGGACAACAAAATAATATGGACCAGCTTGGGACACCAAAACCATCCAGAAAGAGACATACAACAAATCATAACCTAACTGTGATAACCAAATAGTATTGTTTCATAACAAGTGAGAATCCATGAACACGAAAGTCATCCACATGCCCCAGGCAACATTGCACAAAATAATAATAAAAAAAAAGGATCTCCACCTAAAAATTCAGCCACCAAGAAAAGGCTTTCAGTCATCACATCTCCCATTATGCAGCTGAAGAAAGAAACAGATATTTAGGGTATCCCATAAGATGCATACTGGTCAAGTCACCAGATGCAGTGCCTATGGATTCCTGTGCAATCAGGTTGCTGAAATAGGCACTGGGAAACTCTCGCCCTCATAAGCTAGATGAATTGTGGAAAGCATGCAAGGAAGAATGGTGTAGTTTGAACGTAACATTCTTATTATGGAGCCTTTTGCGATGGAAAATATACTGCAAGGCTATCACCAAAATGCACAGTCATCAGACAGAGCATGATCAGACATGGCAATATGAAACGTAATGATCTGGTTAGGCTACAAAATCATTTTAATATAATATACTCAACTTCTGTATTAGGCTCCTTGTCTGTATCTATACCCAAACTTCTTGACTGTTGTTCGTATCTCTGTCTTGAAAAACAAACAAAAAGTAATAATAAAACTTTCCAAATATATGTACGTAAGAATGTGATGAACACCGAAAGAAAGGAACGATACTGAAGATCTTTTTACAACCCTTACAACAGAAAACATGAATATGTTTTTAAAACATTTTAAAAATAAAAAATATCTTAACATACCTATCATGATTTTAGACAAACAAGCACAGAAATAACTTTTTATACTAATCATTAAAATATTTTGTGACGTTTTTCATTCAAAGAAAGTTTACCTTATATATGAGAAATACATACAAATAGGGCCGAATTAAGCACTTTGGAAGTCTCGTGCTAAGATAGATCTAGGGTCCCTATATATGTCTATATGTATATTATAGAATTATAGATATACAAACAGTATTTGTATGGTTAACATTCCAAATTAGACAACCAAAATCAGCAACAGTACAAAATATTTATTCATATACAACATATATATATATTTTTTTTAAAAGAACATCTTTATATGATCTGTCTGTTTGTAGATAGTAACTCAAATCTGATCTATTCATGAAGGATTCATAAAACGGAAATTATGAATTATGAGCACCAATTATAATAACTGACTACTGGAAAAGTTTTTGCTGACTCTTTGGGGGTCCAATCTTTAGTTTGGTCAGGTTGTTCATTAGCTCGGCCGTGACTACAAGTCCAAGATAAAATCTAGTATTTGATTCAGTCAGATATGAAAGAAACTTGCAGTGAACTTCTGATACAAAAAAAAACCTGATACTCATCACTCTGTTATGGAGTAAATAAAAAGTTGATTGTGAATTATAGTGACTTTCAACACTAGTCACATGGTTCTTGTTAAAGTTATGAATTTAAATTTATTGAGGTTTTTGAAGTTCCTTTTTATTATTTCTAAAATTAAAAAAAAATTGAAGAAATTTCAGGAATACCTTATTATAATTTTATATGAACATTTGCATGTTGTTTATATTTTACAATTCACCGAAGATGGAAATAAACACCCTACAAAAAGAAAAACTTCAGCTGATATCGTATGTCTCTAAACCATTAGCTAAGATTCTGTTTTTTCTTGACAGTCAAGAACTCGTCTTATTCTAGTTGTGCTTTTAACGTAGGCTACGAAACATCGTCTTTCACTAGCCGGCTCTTAAACTCCTGTACCTCTTCATAAACAAGACCTGTGGAACAAAAACAAATTTCTTGTTGACAACGGCCTATTACAAACAAAGAGTGGCTGTTCTGGAATTAACAAACTCTTAACAATAGAAGGTTTAACTACAACTCTTTCTTCCATGATCATTTACTTCCTTTACTTAGAGCAAATGATTCATATTGCTTCATGTTAGATTTTTTTTCTTCTATTAAATGTAACTATAAATGTACCATAATTCTTAAATAGCAACTAATAATTTCTAAAGCTGGTCTAACTAATAAAAGAGATCAAGACTTGATCTGCTTCATAAGTACAGGGATATGAAGAGATTTAGACTTGACCCACTTCACAAATACAGTGATTTAAAAAGATCTAGACTTGATCCACTTCACAAATACAGTGATTTAAAAAGATCTAGACTTGAACCACTTCACAAATACAGTGATTTAAAAAGATCTAGAGTTTATATACTTCACAAATACAGTGATTTAAATAGATCTACAATTTATCCACTTCCCAAATACAATGATTTAAAGAGATCTGGACTTGATCCACTTCACAAGTACAATAAATAAAACGTACTAGACTCGATCCACTTAACAGGATAACTTCTACAAGACAGTGAAATGTATTTGTATTATTTAAACTATGAATACTTGAAATGTCTGTATTATTTAAACTATGAACATCGGAGGGTTCCTAATCAACTTTGGTAGTGAAAATGTTGACTTACAGAAGAGTGATATCTGATAGATACAACGGTGGAGTTAAAGGAAGCGAAAGTGTTAAACAAAGCAATACTTTGATTGCATTGTTTGGGACAGTTGCTAATGCTATAACACGTCTGTCACAAAAAACAATGTAGAGAGACCACTCTTTATAGAAATGGACAACTTTATTAAGATATCGTGTAGTGAGATCACTCCTTACAGAAACGAACAAACATATTAAGATATCGTATAGTGAGACCACTCCTTACAGAAACGAACAAACATATTAAGATATCGTGTAGTGAGACCACTCATTATAGAAATGGACAACTTTATTAAGATATCGTATAGTGAGACCACTCCTTATAGAAATGGACAACTTTATTAAGATATCGTGTGTGAGACCACTTGTTATAAAAACGAACAACATCTGAATCTATGTTTTGTGATAAAATTAATTTTTGATTGATGTTTTAGTTAATTCAAGAATGCTGGTCAGTAATATACACATATACTCAGTTTTCAACCATATAGTTCAAGAACAGTTAAACACCATGAAAACATTAGTTGGTAAACAGTGACACTTCAAGAAGTCATTAGTTGGAAAACAGTGACACTTCAAGAAGTCATTAGTTGGAAAACAGTGACACTTCAAGAAGTCATTAGTCGGAAAACAGTGACACTTCAAGAAGTCATTAGTTGGAGAACAGTGACACTTCAAGAGTCATTAGTTGGAAAACAGTGACACTTCAAGAAGTCATTAGTTGGAGAACAGTGACACTTCAATAGGTCATTAGTTGGAGAACAGTGACACTTCAAGAAGTCATTAGTTGGAGAACAGTGACACTTCAAGAAGTCATTAGTCAGGGAACAGTGACACTTCAAGTCATTAGTCAGAGAACAGTGACACTTCAAGAAGTCATTAGTCGGGGAACAGTGACACTTCAATAGGTCATTAGTCGGGGAACAGTGACACTTCAAGAAGTCATTAGTCAGGGGATAGTGACACTTCAAGAAGTCATTAGTCGGGGAACAGTGACACTTCAAGAAGTCATTAGTCGGGGACAGTGACACTTCAAGAAGTCATTAGTCGGGGAACAGTGACACTTCAAGAAGTCATTAGTTGGGGAACAGTGACACTTCAAGAAGTCATTAGTCGGGGAACAGTGACACTTCAAGAAGTCATTAGTTGGGGAATAGTGACACTTCAAGAAGTCATTAGTCGGGGAACAGGGACACTTCAAGTCATTAGTCGGGGAACAGTGACACTTCAAGAAGTCATTAGTCGGGGAACAGTGACACTTCAATAGGTTATTAGCCGGGGAACAGTGACACTTCAAGAAGTCATTAGTCAGGGAACAGTGACACTTAAAGAAGTCATTAGTCAGGGAACAGTGACACTTCAAGAGGTCATTAGTCAGGGAACAGTGACACTTAAAGAAGTCATTAGTGGAGTGAGTTACATTTTATTATCTAATTAAAATTTACCACATATAATAGAAATCTGTTGTAAGTTTTCCATAGAACTGATTAAAATTTCAACATTTACAATAGGCATGAGAAGAAAAGTACAATTCATCAGTCATAAGAAATGAAAACTTTACTACGCAAATAAAATGTTACGAGAGAGATAGAAACTAGTATCAGAAAACGTGAGCTTACTTTTCCATTTTTCAACACTAAGCTCTTTCTCCTCAAACGATTCATCGTAAGGTTCGGCCGTTGGCTCATCCGTTGGATCAGCATATTGTGCAAGGTAGGGGTGAGCCAAAGCTTCCGTTGCAGTTGGTCGTTTGTCTGCGTCCAATTCTAGCATTCTCTCCAGCAAGTTTATTGCTAATGTCATAAAAGCCATTTATTTCGTGATTCGGAAATTGTACTTTTAACTGTAGCTGTTATTTTCAACTTAGAATGAACAAAACTCTCAATTCAATGTCTTAGTTTAAGTGAAGAGCAGATATATATGTGTGATTTATCGATGTTGTTTTCTTGCAGGTTGATGAAAAATTTACTGTATTGAAATCTAATTACTATAACAAATGTACTTTTGAATAGCAAAACCAGTTGGATTTTTTCCAAACTTTAATTCCAAACTAATTACTAAATTTGCCGAAATTGAACATAAAATAACACAAAATATGCAAATAAACAGTAATTATAATTGCATGTAAAGTTAAAAAAATTGTCTATGTAAAAGAAAAAGAGAAACTTAATCTATATAATACACAAACACACAGAGGTTTGAGTAAGCTATACTAAAAAAGTAGAAATATGTAAATCAGGAAGTCAAGTGATGACCACATGAAATATAAAGTCGCGGTGGAACAGAATGTATTAGAACTACATTTTCATGGGTAGTACGATGTCGGTTGAAACTGAACACTTTTGGGAAGAGTACTTAACATCCATTGTAACAAGCTAAAATCCATAAAATAAAGGTAAGAAGAATAAGAAGAAGGATCTCCACCTGAAAAAAACAACAAAAGTCACGTGTACATGTGTTACTTCCACCACATACCCGTTCAACTGTCACGGCTATATTTTTGAATTTTTTTTTTTTTCGTTGCTATGAGAAAAGTTGTTTTAATTAGATATAGGACATTGAAAAATAAAATTTACACACACACAGAGGTTTAGTACATTATATTAAAATGATTTTGGTTCCTCGACATGCTGTTGTACCTCATGTGACCACGTCTAGTCATGCTCTGTCTTACAACCACGCATATTGAAAATAGGCCTGCAATGTACTTTTCATTACAAAAAAGGCTGCATTATGTTCAAAGCACAGTCATCCTCTTGCCACGTTTTTCATAGACCATCTGGTATATGTTGACAACCAGTTTTAACAGTCTAATTACCCATTAATCCAGAAATTATTGAACTTTACATGTATGTAAAATTATGAATCCTTGTTTCTCTATCCAACTGCTTGAGGTATACACAGCATTTCACGTCCAAGAAACCTCAGCCAAGATTCACTCAGGTTACAAAATATGAACAAGTTAATACGTTCTCTTGCATTAGACTCAATACATACGATAACATGCGAACAAAACAACCTTACCATCTGAACTCGCTCCTTTAAACACATCTTTGAAGTTCTTTTTCTCCATTTTAGGTTGTGCACGAATATAATTTTGAGCCTAAATTAAATAAATAGAAAATCCAAATTTTAACAATTTTAGACTTGAATAAGGTTACAAATTATAAACTTGAAAGACAGCTAATTCATTGACAACAGATGATTTAGTAAATACAATTTTTCACTCGTGAATTTATAGACTTTCATTCTGTAAATACTTTCACCAGTGAAGATTTCATCCAATCAGTGCAACCTCTCCTGAAGATCTGTCTGGTATGTGTATAAAACAGGTGACTGATCGCTGTATTTGTCTGGTAGTAAAGTGTATAAAACAGATGACTGATTGCTGTATTTGTCTGGTAGTAATGTGTATAAACAGATGACTGATCGCTGTATTTGTCTGGTAGTAAAGTGTATAAAACAGATGACTGATTGCTGTATTTGTCTGGTAGTAAAGTGTATAAAACAGATGACTGATTGCTGTATTTGTCTGGTAGTAGTGTGTATAAAACAGATGACTGATTACTGTATTTGTCTGGTAGTAATGTGTATAAAACAGATGACTGATTACTGTATTTGTCT